TAATTCAATTGCTTAATTTCGTAATAAATAACGACTAGACGGTGTCGAATTAGCATTTCACTATACAATTCGAAAAGAAATTTTTTTTTATTCAAATGATATTTGTTTTCCTTCATTTCATACCTAAAGGGATTCAACATTACCGCATAACATTGCTGTATTATGGTTGACATAGTTTTGAGGAAGTTACTCAAAACTATGACAAGCACATCCTAAAAAGATATACTATAACTGTACCCACTAATGGAACTGTGTTCAATTTTTTTGGAGCAATTCCATTATTTGCATTTATAAATTATACGAGTATCTCGTTAAAAATAGTGTTTGTTTGGATCAAAAACATGGACGTTTTGTAACTGCATCTATTTTGTCGATAACTCTTGTATAGGTAAATACTGTAAACACTATATGAACGTATTGATGTATGTTTACTACCTCAACATTGCTCTAATAGCATATGTGTAACTGACTATTCATTCAGCCTATTCGATCAATAATGGATTTTGTTCTTTAAAAGTCATTCATCCTACTAGCGCTTTTACAGAACGCAGACCTGCAGAGAATATGATATACCAATCAAGCAGCACATAGAGTGTTCATATAATCTTCGGTCCTCTAGGGCCTTTTTATTTAACGATCTGTATATTATTTGGAGTTGTAAGTTAATTTAAGCTCCCTTCCACTAAGAATTTTCAGTGCTCAGACAGTCAGAACGATAGACATTTTTGAATCAATCCCAATCCAATGGTGTCTCCAAGCCATTTTTTCTTTTTTGGTATTTGGAATTCCTTTTTTTTCAAAAAGTTGTGAATTATCAATCACCGAGATTATTTTTACTTCTTAAAACTTAATTTTAAATTATTGTTTATTAATTGTCTTGTTGCGATAATGAGAATTTTTAATTTTATTTATATAATTTTATTTGTTTATTAAGGTAAACTAGGTGAGTTTTTTTATTGCTAAAAGTTTAATTTATATGGAATTTAAACATTTTTACCTATTCCGCTATTTTCGCTTCAGATGATTCATGACGGCAATCAAATCTTTGGAAAACCCTGCAGTAGTAAAACTGCATTTAAAACTGAAAGTTATTTAAATGAAAAGAAGGCTAAAAGCAAGCGGAGATTTTTGCAAATTCACGTCATCATTGCAATAACAGAGCTTAGCTACCGGTAAAATGAATGAAACAGGTTCAAATAACTGATTGAGTGTAAAAAAATAGAAGCGTGAAATAGAAGAGAGAGAAAGATAGAGACAGAGAGAGAGAGAGTGCGATGGTTAAGCTACCATTCAAAAAAAAAAAAAAACAAAACAAAACATTATGTATGTATATAAAATAAAACGAAATTCCCCTATCAATGCCAGTGATGCACTTTTCCCTGAACCGAATTGGTTATACAGTTAATTATACTAGAAATATGATTAAACCGGTTTACACGATGCAGCATGTGGGTTGAAGGAAAATCGTTGAACGATCGTTGCGATCGATCGATGAGCAACGCCAACTAAACTAAAGCAACCACAGCGGTGCACTGGTTCGATATCGTAAACAAGCATGGAAGCATGGAACTGACCGAGTTCAAGTGGCGGCAAAATTGTAGCAGTGATATTGTATAATGCAACGCATAACAAGAAGGTCAATTACAAAATTATCCACAAGTAAAACAGATACGAGTACGGTAATGCAATAAATACGTCATCAAGCCGAAACCTGTTGAGTGAGTTGTGTTTTGGTTAAACCGGGCTTTGCTTTATTAGGTTCGGTTTCGCTTGCCATGAAAGAAATGTGTCAAACACAAAATCATAAGCACACACTGGCAAGTGCAGATACTTTTCAATATACAAGAATGCATATTGTCATATTCGTACATATGTATGTGATTTTAAGGTTTCCTTTTTTTTTGGCATAATTAAAAACAATATGAATTTGTAAAATATCATTAACAAAACTATTTTTTTTAATTTTCTGCAACTTTCCTGCATTTGTACCCGAGTTCGAAGTTAGATATTTTGTGTGCTTGCACCCGTCTTTTCATAAACGAAAAGTTTGTTTGCAAGATCGATCGTGATGGTTGGTAAAGATTTTAATAGCGTTTCATACATACTCTTAGGGCTTAAAGTCATCTTTAAGCTTTTTTTCTCAGAGTTTTTTCTTTATATACGATTTTATGGTTTCCAATTAATGCAGATTGTCACGTTTCATTTATGAGGCAAGTGATCGTGCGACCCTCACCCTAATGTATTTCGATATTTGCCCACCAACAAATGCAAATAGTTTTAATGTGCATTTATTTATGTATGTCTGTGTCTTGTGATGTCTCTGATGCGCTTATTTTTGTCAAAAGATTTTTGAGGATATTCAGCAAAAAAATATTGTCGTATGAAATTTAACAATGGAAATGAAAAAATATGAAAAAATAATAGTTCTATAAAATAAGCATAAGCATTTGTACTGTAGGTGGTTTGGTTAAGCAAAAATATTTTCACTTGATTCACTTGTTCATAAAAGACAGAAAATATCAGAGAACCTATGTTTTTGAATTCATAGGAAATGAAATTTTTTATTAAAAAAGTCTTCGATCCATTATTGTTATTATTATTTATATGGGATGTGACACTACGACTGTCCGCTTTATTGTGTCCACTTCTGAGTTTAGAGTAAGTCTCTAAACCCTGTTGTGTCGATAAAAAGTAGTATAGAGTAAAGTAGTGGTTACGTTATTCGCTTGTGTTATGTTGAGTATTCCCTTACTTTAGACAAAAAAACAAATAAACAGTTGAAGAAATGTACGCATAAAGGGAAATATATGGAATTGGTTACAACTTATATATAACATCTTAAATTATTATATAACATCTTGAGTATTTAGACTTTGGAAACGGTATATGCCGTAAGTCAGGACGTGTATTGCTGAATATTTAAAAAAAGGAAAAAATAAGATTTGTTAAATTGAAAATATCGCAGACCCCAAGAATGAGAAGATTGATATTACTAATCAGATAGATCTGCTGGAGTAACCTAAGAACGAACATAACATGGTAAGACAATGTATTATTCCAAAATATTTGCTTCCCAGTATTTTTTTATCGATAAAATTAATCTGATATACGCTAGGTTGTCTTTGAGGTTCTTGTTTTCTTGGCTCGAATTTGGCAAATTTCATAATATTGAAATTTTAACGAAAAATCTTTCTTAATTTTTAAAAAGTGTGTAATTTAACAATTGAGCAATTAGTCCGTTTTAGAAACAATATTATTTATTTTATTTTTTAATAAATATATATTTATTTATTTATGAGTTAATATAAAAATTAATTTCATAGTTAACTAAGAATAAGGAACTGGACTAATAGATCCTTCACCTTTAATAAATATTTAAATTTGTACAAACTTCAGTTTGATTTGAATTTTACGCACATACGTAAGACTTGCTAATTAAGAAAAAATAATATTTGACAGATTGCAACAGTGATGCAAATATGTCAACTAGAGACTTTAGTAACAGACTTTAGCAAGAGACTTTTGCAAGTGACTTTAGCAAGTGACGTTAGCAAGTGATTTTAGCATGTGACTTTAGCAAGTGATTTTAGCAAGAGACTTTAGCAAGAGACTTTAACATGTGACTTTAGCAAGTGATTTTAATAAGTGATTTTAGCATGTGACTTTAGCAAGTGATTTTAGCAAGTGATTTTAGCAAGTGAATTTAGCATGTGACTTTAGCAGTGATTTTAGCAAGAGATTTTAGTAAGTGACTTGTTGTGTTTCGTCCAACCTGCAGCGACCGAATAAACGTAATATCTAATAATTGTTAGAAAATAAATAAAAAATAAAACTTTAAACATTTAATATTGAAGTCAAAAACTTTATTTTATATTCAAAATATGTTAAATGCCTAATAAAATGCTTAGCAACCAACTAGCTATGTTAGATATGAATGTTGTTTTCCCTTTTCAGTATTTCGTTTCACTGCATTTATGTATACAAACGCAGCGGCTTTAAAATTCTCCACTAAAATAATTTATAATGAATGCGCATATGTTGCAAATACACGTACATATCTCTCAAAAATAACTTTAATACAAAACAACAACAAAAAAAAAAAGAAAAAAAATTGCTTAAAGTAATTTCCGCAACAATTGACAGAAGCGCCATCTACAATAGTAAAGTTCAAAAATTGTATAAACAATAAAATGACACAAATGAAAACAAAATAACAATCCTGTATTCTTTCATCAGACAAAACTCACACTCTCTGCAAATCATGGCGCGCAAATCCTGCAAACAAAAACATAATTGAAAAATTGTAGGCATAAATGAAAAGAGAGAGTGAAAGAAAGAAGAAAGAAGGAAAACAGAGTGGGAGAGTAAAAATATTTATTATTTTTTTTTGTTCCTTGTGTTTTTGTGTTTAACTTGTGTGGAAGGGATTTGTGTCATATGTGTTGCGCTACATTAATTGCAAAGGAATTGCATTGAAAAATTGTTATACACACGCCAAACACAGCACATTGCCTGCAACTGTGATAATTTGAATTGAATTTTTGAGCATGGCAAACGGAATTTACGAATTGATTTGCATTTAATTTCCGGTAACAAAAAGCCTCTCACTTTTTGAAAATTTATTCTCTTGCCTGCCGTTAATCGAAAAATACCAAAGCAACCAAATATTTATGCAAACATACGCAGACAGTGCGACAGACATACATACATACATACATACACACAGACAAATATGAGACATTTTTGGTGTGGGCTTGGAAAGGCGCCTGCTCCTAAAAACACTTAGCAATTGATTTGGCTACGTTGAGAAAGTGGTTGGGTAGCATAAAAAGTGCATATTGGCATATAGAGAGGAGTAGCAGACGGAAAATAGGCGAAAAATCAATATTTTCATTTTCATGTATATACATTAGTATTTTAATTATAAAATAATTTTATTGATTGTAATTTTAAATAAAAATTTTTCAAAAATATTTTTAAATTTCTACGACATAACTTACCATCGTCTCCAAATACATTTTCCCACAGATTATAACACTCGAACAATCTTTTGTAGGATTTAATAATTTTATTTAAAGATGTTTTACACACGATTTAATAATATGTATAAAGTAAACTGCTGTCAGCACCAAATTTAAATGCAAAGCGTATAAATCACACTAAATACAATCTTTTTAATATTTCTCATATTTAAAGACTTCATTATTTTCAAAATAATATGAATTGCTCACACTTTTCAAAAATTTCTTTCAATTTTTCCGTTTTCTTGTTTGTAATAAATTTTTTTCCTAATAATTTAACACATACTTTTAGGTTTTCATACACATTTGACTTCCTTCCTCCGAGTCGACACACAATGAAATTGGCGTCTAAAATTGAAAATTTATTTTTATTCCTTAGCTTTAGCGCAAAACACACGTACGTCAAAATTCACAAACTCCCAAACACATACACACACACTACTTAACATTTCAACGCACAACGGTAACTAAAAAAACTATTTTCAGCGTTAGCAGCGTTGACGATGACGTTGACGTCAACGCCAACGTTGGCGTTGTGACTAACGTCGACCGAGTTTTTTATTTTCCTTTTTTTTATTTTTTTTTTGTTATTGTGTACTTTAACTTTTGTTGCTTCGCGTAACGAGTACCGTGTGTTGTGTTGTCGTCAATTGCCAATTTAGTAATAATTGAAGGAATGCATTCTGCATTTGTATATGGCATAAAAGCAATCCACAAAACATATTTCACAAACAATACACACACCCGCACACCCACATTGAACATACCGTTTAATACTATACATTTAAACTATTTGATTCCACTGCGCGGGCACTCAAACCACAGCCAACACAGTGCGCTCGCGTCATATGTATTACTAACTATAAATATACGCAACCCCCCAACTGAAAGTTTTGCCAGCATACGGCCCACACTCACACAACCCACACACACACACACACTCCGTTCCATCTCCTTCAACCTAAAATCACTTTCATATAATTTAAGGGTATAAATCGATAAATAATTGAATTGTTTCGTATACGCAAACAGTGAGAGATGCCGACACTTGCTCTTGCCTTTCGCTGTGTGCAATTCATTCTGTGTCCGGTTGGGTACGGCCGGGTGGGTGGTAAACTATTGTAAAAGAGAGTGTGTGGAGAAATTTTGAATATGAATTTTTATGTTGAAAAATTTTGTGCGTAATTCTCGCTTTTTGTTTACTTTTGCTTTTGCTGAAAAATTTAGTTGTGAGCGGAAAAGTGTTGAAAAACGTATTGTGGAATGTACCGTTATTTTTAATCTAAACAAATATTTTTTTTATTGCAAAATAATATATTATAATATATTATTATATAAAATAATATATAAAACAATATAATTAAAATATACTTTTTAATACAATAAGTTTCTATATATTGTAATAAAAATATTACTTAGTATAATAATATAAATATAATATTTTTATTTTATTGTACTTAATGACAAAAATATAAATACATAATATAATATATATTTTTATATCTAAACAAATATTTTTTTATCAAAAACTTATATATAACATAATACATAAAATATTATATAAAATATTACATACAATAATTATTTTGTGGCCAAACAAATTAATTAAAGTGTTTTTGTAGGCTGATTGGTCAAATTTTTTTTATTGTTGTTAAAAAATAAAAATTAAGAAAAAGAAAAATTATAGTAAAATAGATTTTCTTAATTTTTAAATTGTAACAATAAAAAAATTGGACCATTCATCCTGCAAAAACACTTTATTAAATATGAATATACTAATAATATGGATATACTAATAATATGGATATACTATATTTATTTTATTGTATTTAATAAAAAAAATATATATATATAAATGCATATATACATATACGTGCATACATATTATATTATATATTAGAAAATATATAATATGATTAAAATATTCTGTATAAATGCTTTAAATTTCTACATTAATAAAAATATTATTTATTGAACATAAAATTTTTTTTTTTTGTTGAAAAAAATGTATATATAAATTTATATATAACATATGTATTCACTTTATGTTTATTTTTTAATGTCTTGTACGAGGGCTGTTTGATAGGTCTATGGTAGCTGCATTAAATAAGTTTTCAAATATTTTCGTTGTACATATTTTGCTCATAATGCGATAATATAGAAAACCTTAAGTCAAATTTTTTTTGTATATGAGACCTTTTTTTATTAAAGCTATTTAAAATTGGTGAATTCGGAAAAATTAAAAAAGAATTTTACATATTGGTTAAGTACAATTTTTTTGTAAGCAAGTATTATCCATTTTAATTTTTTTGTACTACCGAATTCTTGTACTTGAACTTTGTGGACTTTTTGATTCTAGTAAAAATTTTATAAGAGCATCTTGCAAGAGACTTTGATAATGAAATAATTGTCCGAAAGAATGTACGTTTACTTATAGTGGACCAAAAAAAAAACATTAATATAGATTTTAATATAGATATAATATAGATTTTAAAAAGCGTTTGCAAATTCTAGAGCGCGTTTAGAGATAATTTCAGTGTTGCTTTAAAACTGTGGATGAAATACGGCTATATTCCTATAATCGGAAATTGAGAAAAGTTCATAAGATGAAGATGCTTCAAAAAAGGTGAAGAAAGTTCCATCAGCGGAGAAAGTTATATGTAGTTTTTATTTTTTGTGATGAAAAAATTTCTATAGACCAATATGTTCCAAAAAATAAAAAAAAAACAAATTAATATATAAATATTATATCAGCGGGAATAACATCAGTTTTTGTTTTTTGAGATACAAATGGCATTAAATAGAATAGACTAATTGAAAAAGGGCATAACAATTGAGGAGGTGAAATAAAGAAAAAATATTGTATTTGTAAAAAACATTGTTTGTAATAATAAAAACTTTTCATGAAAATTCATCTTTCCCTGACTTCACTAACGCACAGACTTATTAAGCTACTATCGCATATCCCAAACAACAATTTGAGCGGACGCATTATTTTACAAACATTTTGAGAGATGCTGTAATAAGTGCGCTGGCTAGGTGTGCAGTCTTACAGTTTAAACAATTCAGATAAAATAAAAATATGGTTTGGATAATAACTACTGTCCTACAGTTTGAGATAGGTAGAGAAAATAATATTTGTAGCAATGCACAGTTTGAGTAGCACAATTATCACTGAAGTGCAAATGGAGTTACAGTTTTAGATATGTACAGTACGCAAAACACGCAAGCCGCACAGTCGAGCTAGAGATATGTTTGAATATATAAACGGTTGCGCGGAAATAGCTATTAAAACAAATTAAACTTAATATATTTAGCAAATAAATATAATTTACTTTTGTCACATAACAAGAATATGAAGTGTTCTTGTATAAATAATCAAATTTCTTTAGTGATTATCCCATCAGAATTTATTAACATAATTATAATTTATTAGATTCGAGATAGATTATATTTAGAAACTAACTGGAATATTACAGTTTTAGTAGCACAAAACTATAGCAAAACTTGAGAAATGTTTCGAAATTGATTGTTGTCCTTGATGAAAGACGTACAGTAGGAAGAAAAATAATCTTAAAAATTTTAGAAGTTTAAAATTAAACATAGAATAAGAAACAGAAGAGTGTACAGTATTAAATTTATGATTACTTCTGGATGGAATGAAATTGGTGAAATTAATAGTTTGTAGCACTTTTTCCAAGAAAATAGATTGTCATATATATTTAACTCATAGGAAACTCGATTTATTTAGGTTTATAAGGAACTGATTAAAAAAACAAGCCTCAGTGAATTATATGTACATTTTGTGAAGAAAAATTAAGCTTTTTTTAAATTTTAACAGAATCCACAATAGATACTGAGGTAATTTTGGGAAATTCTGTGTCAAAGTTTTACTTTTGATACAAAATATAGGTTTCAAAAATAAAAAAAAGATGTAGAGATAGAGTTGGACTGGCCATGCATCATAATAAATAGTTAATCAGTGAGAAATAAATTGAGTTTGAAAAATTCAAGTGGAAAAAAAACTAAACAATCTTGCTGGCTCGGTGTGGTTAAATATCTTTCGAGCATACTTTAGATAAATGGCTGGAGTTACGAGATAGAATTACCAGTCCTATGTTTTAAAAAACCAAGTTGTACTTCAGTTGTTTTAATTCTAACGAATCGGTGGGGTCGGATGGACCAAAGAGGACAAAAGTGATTTAATATGATTTCCGGTAGTTGCAAGACACTGTGAAGATTGGAAATATGTTATAGCGAGAGCCAAACTTATGTTTCAGTTGAAAAACCAATGAATCAGAAGAAAGGAATTTAAGTTTATTTTAGGTAAGTCACTGGCGTATAGTTGCACGGAAAAGCACTGTGACGACCAGATATGCATTATAACAAAATCCAGGGTTGTATTGTTGCTGTAATGTTAATGAAGCAATATGTATAAGCCAACTTAATATACTCACAGCAGTTCTAATACTTCCAATTGTGTAACTTTTTTAGATAAGGAAAAACTTAAAATTTTATTTTTATGATAAAAATTTATATATTTTTTAACTACAAGTGCTTGATGAATGGTTCTTTTCGCATATATTATTTCAGCTAAAATTTAAATTGCATACTGACAAAGATGAAATGTTCTTGTAAATAAGCAGGAAGTGAGAAAAAGACACACACTTCAAAGTTGTCTTCTTCACAAATGGAAAGCGAAAAGTTTTACAAATGCCAGTTGCATCCTGTTTCTTTTTTTTCTTTCCACTGAAAAGGACATGTTATTCCCTTAAAGTGCGTGAGTTCTAAAGTTCTTAACTAGAAGTCATAAAGTTGAAAGTAAAACTAAATTTGAGGTTAAAGTTGGAGAAGAAAAAAAGCAAACTCATGAGAATCAAATTGAAATTTAATTTGTTTAAGATTGAACAAAAA